GGACTGGACTCTGGGGGGGGGGGGTCCTACATTAATATGTAGGACCTCTGGACACTATATCCACACTCATGCACTGAAGACACAAACGAGTCAGGAAGCATTGGCATTAGTGTAAAAAAAAGAGGCCTGTGGAATTCATTACAGACGCTTCACATTAGATGTTTTTGGCACGTTGGTATTTCATGCACTAGAATCTCATTTGGCAAGAAAGCACAAGGACCTTGCTTATGTCTTAAGTGTGCGTCATTGAGAACTCTAAGCAGTGAAGCATGCATTCCCATTTCTCAAAGCAGCATATATTAAAGGGATACTTCACCCATTTGCATTAAGCTTGGTATCATTAGAAACCTAGGGCGGACTGGTAGTGTCGGTGCTCTCACTGTTTGCCTATGGACACAGACATAGAGTCTGTTTTCTGCCAGGAATTTCCAAGATCAATTCTGGAAGAAATTTTGGAATCAGTTGAGGAAACGGCCGTATGTGTTGAAGTAAATATGTCTGTAAATGTTTTTATTACAATATTTATACTGCTATATTGTATATTTTGGAGAAACTGTATCGATCAAAGTATTTTTGATTCTGAACTAGAGGACCTTAGTGGGAGTGGCTTGCAGTGCTGTGCATTCTGGGATTTGGTGTCTTTCATCCACATGAGCCAAAAATACACTTTATGCCTTTTCTCGGCCAAGAAGGCACCAACTTCAAACTTTATTTCACATTTCTACTACATATATGACCCAATGTCAATACAGATTCATGTTTCAACGGGTGAAGTATCCCTTTAACATTTCTGCTGTTCTGTAACTCGTATGGAGCACATGCACACGGAGGTACATGGAGGTGGGGCATGTTGCATTTTTGTTTGCTTTTATCTTACTAATTGCAACACTTGCATACAGGTCATACCATTCACATTCACAAACTTGTGTTTGAACATTTTTGCTTTCTCTGTGATGCACAAAGCTGTGTTTATTGTTCTCTCAACATGCTCCTCTATCCTCTTTTCCCTCCCTAAAGCTGTATGTATTCTCCAGGCAGCTCCACTATCAGATATCTCAGCAACAAATAAGAGGCTTTGTTTTCACTTCCACTCTTCTAGGCAGAAGATTGATTGGACTCTTTAAATTACTGCTCATGTCCGCAGACGCACGACTGAGACTGAATAGTAAAAGCTCTGAAGTGACGTTCATCCACACCTCTCAGCACTGATCATGCTGTTTTAGGATAACCTGATGACGATTCTTTATGGTGTTGTCACATACAAGGACAGGGAGCAGGCTTCCATGTGTGCAGCCATGACCATATGGTGAACCCACAAGCAACTCAACCTTGTAAGCCCACTGACTCGTAAATTACCAAAGATATAGGACACTTTAAATCTGTCATTTTCAATATAGGTTTTACTTGTGTCACCTTGACATTAAAAATTAAAAATTCCTCAGTAAATTACACACCAGACAAGATGTCCAGATATAGACTGCTGCTCTCTGTGAAAGACAAGGTCATTAACTTAGAGAGATAAAGGCAGCTTGTATGGAATATTTTCTTCCAGATGCCGAACAAGACTGTTATCCAACAAATTCCAAACAGCAACAAAAGATCACATTATGTGGTCTTGGCACTTTAATTAGCTCCAGAGGAATCCTTTACATGTTTATCACACAACAAAGCTTATTCTCTGCTTTGTTTCCTGCTGGCATTTGGACCCTTCACTTTTAGATATGTTCACACTGCAAGCCTTAATGCTCAATTCTGATTCATTCTTCTGATCAATTTGTTTTTTTTGTCCGCTAACATTACTTTTTAGATGTGGCCCGATGTGAAGGGGACACGGTACTTCACAAAATGCTCAGAAGAACAAAAAACTTCATCATATGACAATAAATTTACATTAATTTGATATTAATCATAACAACTGTTACTCTCTACCTCGCTGTCCTTACATAACAATATTAACAAAAGAGGTTGTAAAGGGAACTTAAGATACTATCCCTCTTTGTCCCCTCCATGATAAAGCCTTTTAGATTGCCTCTGTTTTGAAGTTTAGACCCATGACCTGCAGGTTATACAAAAATAGAACTTATACAGCAAACATCTGGCCACATTAGTTAACAAAATATGTAAATTAATTTGAATTGAATTATGGATAATACAATAAAAAGACAATTGAAATTACGACTGTAAGCTTACTGTTATGATCCAGAGTAGGGCTGCACGATATATGGTTTCAGCATCGTCATCGCGATGTGCACTAGCGCAATAGTCCCACCGCAAGGAAATGCGATGTGAAGGAAAAAAAAATCCATCTGGAGCCGAAAAATATATTTGAGCCTTTCAATTAAGTTTATGTAGCCTGTCTATGCCCATTGATATTACTAATAGATCTAAATGAGCATACATTTAATATATTTTACCACATTACATGCAACAACTCTCATAGTGATATATATTAAATTATCTTTATTGGTTTTTCAAACAATCAAATTATTCTTACTAAAGTTTATCACAGCTCACTTTAAATGGGTATATCTCGAATGACATTGATTTAGCTAGTTCATTAATAGGAAAGAGCAGGCTTTTAGCAGGATTAACCTTATATCCCGATATTTCCCCAAACTCTGTTAAATGCCCGTAACTTGGGATAGAGACATCAGGATCCAGCAGATACAGTACAAGGTCATCTCTCCCTCCTTGTAATGCCATAAACTTGTTCAGCACTTCTTATTGCAGCTAAATAAATAATATTGGGATAACATTCTGCCAAAAGCTTTATGGGCATCGAGGGTAAACAAGACTTCAGCTATATCTGATGCTTTTGTAGAGTAGATGATATTATGTAGGCGACGTTGATTACCATAGAGCTGTCGACCTGAGATTAATCCAGATTGATCAGAGTGTACAATCTTTTGCATGACTGTGTCAAATCTCGCTGTGAGCATTTTAGCTAAAATCTTATAGTCAACCCCTAATAGACTTATCGGTCTGTAACTTTAACATTTCAACGGATCCTTCTCTTTTTTTTTGGGATAACTGAGATAGTTGCCTATGTCATTGTGGGAGGCAGTGAACCTCTTTGTAGCGCCTCAGTAAATACCTCCCGCAGCAGTGGTGAGAGCTTTGCAGTGCACTTTTTATAGAAATCAATGGGAAACCCATCGGGGCCCGGAGCTTTACCGCTTTTAATCTTACTAATTGCCCTTTGTATTTCATAAATTGAGATAGCTTTATCTAGAGCCTCCCTATCCTCGACTCCTACATTTGGTAGAGTGACTTTGTCCAGAAACTGTTGTATTTTATCTCTATTTGTGGCTTCAGATGTATATAGGTGCTTATAAAAAGATTCAAACTGCTCATTAATCTCACGTTGGCCAATTGTTACGTTACCATCTGCTGCCTCAATCTCTGAAATATATGCTGTCGCTTCTGCCTGTCTTAACTGGTGAGAAATGTGATCTCTCTCCAGATTTGTAGCATTTTAATCTGGATTTTAAATAGAGTTCTTCTGCCTTACCCGTAGACAAATTATCAAATTCCGTTTGTCTGAGATTACTATTTCCAAGATTGCAAGAGTTAACGAGGGGCATGAGTCTCTTATCTAAAAGGAAGAAGTCAATCCTCGAGTAAGACTGGTGTGCAGAAGACAAAAACGTGTACAATCTGGAGGTGGGGTTTTTGAAACGACAGGGATCCACTAAACCATAAGCTTGAAGTAATGAATTGATATATTCTGCTGAGTTAGACATAATTCTACTGGTAGGACTTAAGCGGTCCAGGATGGGATCCAACACGCAATTAAAATCACCACCTAGGACTAATTGATGGTCATTTAATTCTGGTAGCATAGCAAAAAACTCTAAAGAATTCCACATTGTCCCAGTTTGGAGCGTAAACGTTTGCCAAAATAACTGGTACGTTATACAGCTTTCCCTGCACAATGACAAATCTTCCGTTTCTATCTGATATTACTTTAGATTTTGTGAACTGGATGTTTCTGCTGTACTCCTACATTTCACATCCCAACTTGAATGGAAAGTTTGTTGAAATCCTCCCCTCCTAAGCTTGGCCTGATCACAATTTTTCAAGTGTGTCTCTTGTAAAAATGCCACCTCAGTTCTCAATTTCTTAAGATGAGCAAAGATCTTATTACGCTTCACTGGGTGGTTAGCACCCCGTACATTCCAGCTGGAAAAGATAGTTTGAGGTTGGTTACCTATTCCTGACATATGAAATTGTGTATAATTTTTTACCTTGTAACGTCTCTAAGAAATAAAGTTGTATTGCCTATAAATGCAATAGAGATTAATGTATATTGCCAGAACACAAATATCCCAACATCCAAAACGAAAAACCCAGGCCCGTCCCCGCCCCCCTCCTGCACGCCCCTCCCCAACTGAGAGGCTGCTAGATCATCCAACAGCGCTGTAGCAACTAGCATACAGAAATACCTTACCAATGAGTCTGAGCCTCAACCTGAACTGCCAGACATGAGAAAAAACGTGTTGTATCTTTCTACCAATATTAACCATATCTCTATTCTATGTAAATGACCATGAATATGTGTCTGTAATGACAGTACATTAAGCCAAAATAGTAATAATACTAATGATGCAAATCTAAATAATTGTGATGATGGGATGCCTGTAGAAAATCAGGTAGCCTACAGATGCCATTGAAATAAAAATGGAAAGTTCCCTGCTCAAGTGGAATTATAGAATTGGCTCTCACGAACACAACAAAATGGTGAACGTATTTTGGAAGTTCAGTATATTGCTCCATACACTCCCTATTATGAACATGAACAGGGTAGGGTACTGAAGAAAACAGTCAGAGTGCAATGCTACCATCTTACAGGCTGGTTGGTCGAATAGAGGTTGATAGTGGCTTTCGAAGAGAAAAAAAACAAGAATAAAAGAGCAGCCTTCAACAAACAGCTACTGGTTTAGCCCCCTCACTTCACTATATTGGCCAGCACATATTCCTCATTTTCTCATTATCCATGCCCTGGGAGGGAGCCCATCTTCCTGCCTCCTCCGTAGTGACCGATGCGCCATGTCCAGCAGCGGAGCCTCATCCAAACGCAGAGACGCCGCGAGCAGCCGGGCCATAAATTTGACCGGGCGTTCACCGACTTCACATCCCTCTTTATTACCAGTGACACGTAGGTTACAGCGCCGTGAGCGGACATCGAGGTCATCGTTCTGTGCTCTCAGAATGTCCATCTGTTTTTTCATCGCTGACACGTCTTTCTCAAGCTGTGTTATCTTATCAGAGTGGTCATTTGTAGCCGCCTCGAGCGAAGCTACCTGTCTTCCCAAACTTGCATTGTTGGCTTTTGCTGTTTCGGCGGCCTGTTGCAGTTCTTGTCTCAGCTGGTCAATCATAGCATTCTGACTCTTGGCTTTCTCTTCAATCTTGGCAAGTAACTCCCCAGACTGAGCTAGCGCTAGTCTCATTGGTCTTCTTCTTGCTCATTTCACCCCGTCCACGAATCACAAGTGCCTTTAGGCTTATTATTGGTGTGCGCTACTTAAACAAGCACTTATTCGTCACCTAGCATTAGCGAAAGTTTGATTAAGTCGGTAAATACAGCAGTTCAGGTGAGGAGCTCAGCAAGGACGCGTCTTCACTTGTTTCGCCGGAACCGGAAGTCCCACAACTCTCAGAGTTATAGCACCTTCTCAGCGCTCTGTCATCTCACCTGCTGTTATCAGGGTCGTGCATAGCGACATGCAGCATGAGTGGTCGAGGCGACTGAGAGAGAGGGAGCGGAGCAGTGATATGAGCGGAGATACATAAGGGGCTAACCTATATTTAGCACTTTCGGGGTTAAAGGCAGCGGCCTCCAGATCTGTGCATTCAACTTTGTCTTCAGTCAGAACGGGCTCTCGGTTTTGTTTTTGAGGTCTAAGTTTTGATCTTCTGATAGCCCACTTTATTGTTTATTTGACGTCCTCCTTCCCACGACTTTCGATTTCATGAGCTGCCATAAAACTTGAAACGGTCGTAGTTTAATGTCGATGTAATCCTTTGCTTCCTGCAGAAATCACCCTTTTTATCTTTCCAAGGCAGACCGTCTTCACAAAATGCATTGTGCTTGTTCTAGAAATGTCTCTAAACATTACTTTTCATTGATTCACATCTCTGGCAACTGATTACTCAAGCCTACAAAAAAGGCAAAACGCAGGAGGAGGACAAACTCTAAGCGTCTGCTCAGCCTGTATGTGCGCGCTCCCGCTGTGTGTCTCTCTCGCGTGAGGAGGGGTTAACATATTAATAAATATCCCCGTAATATTATTTGGTCGCGGAGGGAAACTTAAATGATAGAGCCTCAGTGCATGAGCGAGTTATTAATAAGTCTGACCTGATTTGAGAAGAATCACTTGCAGGAAATATTATAGATCAATATCAATAGGCTAATTAACGGATATCAAAATGATTAAGACTCTTCATCATTTTTTTTTTTTTTCTTAAACGCAAATAGCATTCATGGAGGCAGAGAGAGACAGAGGCAATCAGGTGAGAGTCTGTAATCATCATTTCAGGGAGAGTCAGGGAGAATTCAGCTGAACAGAGTGAAGCAGTAAACTTAAAAAAAATATCGCAATATATATCGCAGGAAACAAAAATATTGCAATGTCATTTTTTCCCAATATCGTGCAGCCCTAATCCAGAGTGACTTTTGTTAGCAGATTATCATATTCCTTTAAATGCTTTAATACTAACAGAGGCCTGGGATGCATGACTCAGCAACAAAACAAACGCGACAGATCTAAAGTGAGTATAGTACAGGATCAGGACCAAAACTACAAGATGGAAGAATCTGGAATATGTTATACAGAATTACAATCCCTACTTACAGTACAGGGCACAGGTGAACACCTTCAGATTTAAATAGTAAAATAAAGTCCCTGGAAAATTGCTACTATACCACCAACGCATTAGATCAAAGTCACCAAAATTGCTTTTTGTAAACTGCTCATTTCTTTCCTTTTATAATGGAAATACTTAATGAAAGATTTCAAAAGGGCACACTGGCTTATACAGTGTTGTTATATCACATTTATTGTTTATTTCCCAGAAGCTCAGATGACCCAGCAGGAAGTGAGGCAGAATTTCTATTTCAGCTGTGAAACAAACATCAGTTCTTTAATCATTCTTTGTACAGTAGACCTGCACTCTAAAATACACCAGCCACCTGCGAGCTACTGAAGAAATTAACAAGTGAAAAACCAGCCATTCAGCAAGTCCACATGTGATTTGCACCTAAGTGCACTCTGTCAGTTAAGAGTAATGATGTTTAGTTTGGTTTGTTTTATTCTATACACACACCTGCCCCAAATACTTCAGAGAGTAGGTGTGTTGTTTTCATGTATTTTATTGTGTGGTGTTTAGAAGAATCGAATGGAAGAATGTGTGGCTTTTTTATCCAGTAGATGTCGCCCGTCGAGCACCAGCATGAAACCCAAACAAACTGCTGCTTGGCGACTACTCCGCCAAATTGTCACACATAATAGTTTTCAAATATAATTTTAACACTGACTTGTGGTTACTACGGTATTCACTGGTTGATGCTTTTTTTTGTATAATCTGCAAACTTGAACAACCAAGCCAAAACTTCACTGTATAAAGTTCTGTTTTAGTTCAGTCATGTTTCAAATATCACAATATTAAATAAACACATAAGGTTTCTAACTACCTGTATGTGAGTCTGTGGGTGTGCAAAATCTTTTTTTAAAACCTGTATTGACACCTCGACAATAATAATTCTATATACAACTTTAAATTGATATAGATAGACCCTAGATAAATGGATGACGTTACAATGAGTAAAGTAGAAAACAACTATTCCATGTTTTGAGGCATCCTTTGTAACATGTCACAGAGACACATTGAATTAGCCAAATGGGAAAAAAGGTCCGAGGTTCACAATTCTGGTTAGTGTTTGAATCAAAGTGATGGAACTACAACCAACATTTAACATCCACATTCAATCAAATTTTAGATGTTTTCCCATAGGCAAGGAATGGAGAGCAATGGGATACTGAACATTAGTGTATATGTCGGGATTGGCTCTCTCATAGAGATATATAAAAAAAGGAAGAAATATCAAAAATGGTTAGCAAATATTGTCTTTGTGTGGGAAACAAAATATTTAATATGCCAATATTAATGTTTTTATTATTATTTATTTAGCATATTTCCCTGACAGGGATTTTGGCCATTCAAACCTTCATCTACCAAACAACTACATATGATACCAGCTAACTGAAACGCTTATAGGGGATATTTTGATCTGAGAAAACTTCACTCTCCCCTCTGAGATTTAATAGTAAAGAGCTTGATAAATGGAACGCACTGGAGAGAACAAAAGAAACTAAAATAAATCAAGTCATCTTAACATTGGTCCCCTTCCTTGCTGGTGTTCCCTAAAGGAAGCCTTTGAAATCAGAAAAAAATCCCCAGGTCTCTATAATTGACCTCATCTATTTCAAAAATAGGTTCCAACTCTAATTACCTGACTGAACAAAAACATTTCCCTCATCAGTGCCCAGAAAGAGCTGCAGGGGTTTTGTCTGTACTGGAGATATAATTCCTTCACCAGCAGGACAGTGGAGAAGAACACGAGAGTATGCTCTTGTAAAAAGATTCAGCTAGTCTGCGCTGCTGAAATACTACTGAACATTTATCACTATAATTAATGTAAGATGTAAGTAGAGTAATGAAGGGAGAACCCAATGACCCCAAAATATCACTGTAATGCAATAAGGGAATCAGAATTCTTGCTTCACACACTTTCCCAACAGTATGTCTTTATCTTGTATTTCACTGTTCAGCAGATAGAACAGCTAGCAGCATCCAGTGAAGTAAGTTGGGGATGACAATGTAGTAAGGTGAGATGGTCCACCTCTTGGACTTCCCTTGTAAACTGCTGATGTTCAAGGAGGGCGACTTTTATCTCAAATCTTCAGTTTGTCCAGTACTTTGGGATTATTATTAGTTTGAAAGTGTTGAACCAGTTACACTGCTGTGAACATTTTGCAAATACCTTAGGCAGTATACTGATTTTATACAGTATATTTCAATACTCTGATCATACAGTCATTAAATTAATTCAATGCATACACTGTAAGAGGTGAAATTAAAATTCACTTACTGTAGATCATGGGTTTTGTTCAGTGTATATCCTCCCTGCTTGCTGACATCAGTTATACAATAATCACACTGTGACTTAGAGAAATAATAGGTGTGGCCACAATGGCATGATTGAGCATGACTGAAGGTCAAAGGCAGGTAATAGCTGGGAGGTAATTCTCACCCCCAAGTTGAACTTTCCCTCCACTTCCACTTCACCTGTCTCCACATTTGACAACCCCTCATATCCAGCCAGAACTAAAGCCCTCTCCAGGCCCCAGTGGCCAATTTTTTCTTTCCCCATTACCTCCCCATTAAGGAACACTGTGGAGAAAGAGGACACTGAGCTCCTCTTGCAGAGCCAGCCTGAGTCATTACTTACATTATAGCTGTGTCGCTACTTGAAGCTCTGCCTGCAGCTGCTAATGATGAGAGATGGCAGTAAAAGGAGGAGGATCCCCTCTGTGCATTGAGCAGCAGAGTACAGTAACCTGATTACTAGTGGCTGCCTGGAAAATGGCATTACATCCTAGCTGCAGACACGTCTCTCACTTTGAGCCTCCGACTGTCCTAGATCGGGGCGGCTGCACGTCTTACTCCATGAGGATGAGTTTATCATTGTGCTTTGTCAGAAGCAGTCGTACACACAGCTAAGAGGCTGCTCCCTGCCCCGGAGTGTTCTGATTGCAAAATAAGGCCTTCTGTCCTCTTCATACATTACTGTTCCAGTCAATCAAGACGTGTTTAGATTTGATTACTGCATGTGCCTAAAATTATTTAAAAATTAATTAAAGCGAAGATGAAGACATCAGTTTTAAAGTGCACCATATTGTGCAGATTCAGATGTGAGAGCTATTCAGGGCGACCTTTTAATTCATTGACTTTAAGCAGAAAATTGGCTCTTATCATTTGGTTACCTGCAATTCAATCGGGGCCCACTCATTTGTCTGCTCTGTCTCAAGTATCTGTGATACTGAAATAGATTCAGAGCTATTTATGGACATAGAGAGAAAGAGAGAGGAACGGAAACGAGACAGAGATTGACAGAGTGTTGGAAACTTTCTCTTACAACAAGACCATTAGTCTGCAGCCAGAGTGGCTCTGTAAGGCCTTTCTTCATCACAGTGCTTATTTTATAGTTTAATGTATGAGAATAATGTTCTTGATTGTGTGGCTTTACCCTGATTCACACATTACCATAAATGCCCAAATTGGACTTAACAACAGAATATTTTCACAACAGGATCAACCTTATTCTCAACATGATTTTGGCAGTGTAACAGATATTTAATTCAAGCAAATCGTTAAGCATATATTTATT